CCGGGCTGGCAGAGGCCACGGTGTGAGCAGCTCCGGGGGTGCGGCGTGAGCGGGCTCGGACTTCAGCAGCGCTTGTTCCAGGCAGGGAGGGGGATGAAGAATTCTCTCTCAAAATCGGAGAATGCACGGTCCCGGTGATGCTGTGAGGCACTAAATACAAAGCAGTTTTAAAGAGGTCTTGTTTCTTTGTCTTTTATTTCTTTGTGAATATGTCTCTGAACCATTTCTAGTTATGGTTTTTAAGCATCATTATGAGTTTCTCCTCGAAGCAAATTTGGTTTTTTTTCTATAGACAACGAAAACTTGAGATGTTTATATGTGTCTTTCTGCTTCTGTGAAATGTGGGTTAATATTTAAGGTATTCTAAATGGCGTTTCATAGCTTTTAGGTGTATTGCTTTTGAGGTGGATGAAACCAAATGCATCTAGACAGTTTGTTAACTACAGCAAGTGTTATTTAGAAGTACTTCTGGTTTTATACTGGGCAGTGATATTTACCTCGTGAACAAGAAAAGCATGTTTCAGGAATGGTTCTGTGCGGTGCACAGAAGGAAGGATGTAAAACTTTAGCAGGTGAGTACCAGTAGAAAAACTGTGAGAAGACCCAAGCTTGGAAACTTTGTTTAAAGCTGATGATGTACCTTCAAAGAGTACCTCTCAGTAAATAAAGTCTTGTACCACATTTGATTATTAAGGAGGCAGGTGCCGGTATCTTAAATAATAAGGATTTCTAAACAGCTGACAAATAATGGGGAATATGCTGCACAAATTTTATTTATCCTGAGGATATTCAAGAAACTGAATTGTTGGTCTTTTGTACCCTGAACAGTTATGAAACTGATTTCTTTCAGAGGGTGTTCTGCAGAAATAAAGGATACGATATCTGTCTGAATTCCATTTTGCCCAGGACTGGTTTTCTTTTTGCTGACAGCATGGCGACATCACTTAGAAGTGCGTGGTCCAGCTTCTTTTGGATGCGTTCAGCAGCAACCTGTAAGCAGGCCCCGCTGTGGAGTAAGTAGTGATGAAAATGTAGAAGTTCTATATGAAAATTTGTTCTTATAGAGCCTCTTTCCTGTACTGTTTAAAGTAGTGGAAGCGTGGAAGTGAATTTTATTTGAACAGAATCAAGTCTGATATTCCATGTTCTCTGCTAATACTTAAAGGATATTTTGATTTGGTTTTGGTTTTTGTTTGTTTTTTTTTTAAAGCTTCCACAGTCCACGTATGACACTCCTGTAATTTATTAATTAGCTTGTAAATGTCATCCCACTTACCACTGATTATATTTGAAGATTTGAATTTATTTTTTTCAGACTTACAAACGTTGGTGAGAAAAGGCCACAGTAAAATCTTGTTACTTAACATAAACAGAGAACAAGTGAAAACAGGCAATATTATTTGTGATATTTTTGTCCATGTTTTAGATGTCAATAGAAAGGTGTAGGGGAGATAGTAAAGGTGGTAGAAAAGACAGGAACTGAGAAAATATAATGTGTGTGTTACATTTTAGAGGTTAGTGCACGCAGAGGGGAAAGAAATATTAGGAAGAAATACGAACTACTTCCAGTAATATTTTACCAGAAAGCAGCTTCTTAATAATTAATAGTGGTTTAATTGGAAGAGCAAAAGCATGGAAGTGCTAACAGAAGTTCTAAATTTAAGAATTTTATATCTCAAATATATATTTAAATATATTAGCTATATCTAAATTCAAATTTAAGAGTTTTAGATCTAAAATATTTCTGAGAGGAAATTAGCTGCACAAAAGTTTCTTCTTGGTTCTTTTGGCTTTCCCAGTGTTGACACAGTGAATGCTCTCCCTCTCCGTTATGAACAGCCAAGAAGAATCCTGTCTGTGTTAAAACTAAAGAAGGTCTACATAAAACAGCGTGTGAGAAAGAAGTTGAGACCTTTTTATGACTTGTTTGAAAACAGAAAGCTCAGAACATGCTAAGACTTAGTTCTTGTGATCGTAGTTCAGTTCTTAAAAGTGTAGTGGGAGAAGAAGCTTCGCTGGACTCAGAAACGTACGCGTGACACCATGTTTGTGTCAGGTTCCGGCAGAGAAGGAGGGGGTTTGCCAGCGCAGGTCAGCTACAGGCACCTCCCCAGCCCATCTTAGGCGTGCACACCTACGTGGTTGTGGGAGACAAGATGCCTGTGGTATGGGGTTTAACACCTTATGTTAAGCTTATGGTCAGACTTAAAGATTGTAAAGGTCTTTTCCAACCTAAATGATTGTATGATTCTGTGAAAAAATGGGAATGGAAACATGGGAAAACTCAGTCGGAAGGGACTTCAGATGGTCTGTGGTCCAGCCTGCTGCTCAAAGCCTGGTCAGCTCTGCAGTCACACCAGGTTGCTCAGGGCTTTGTCCAGCTGGGTCTTTGAAATCTCCAAGGACAGAGACTGCACAGACCTGCCTGGGCCCCACTCCCGCTGGTTGGCTGTCCCCATGAGGAAAACATTTCTTTGCGTATGCAGTCAGAGCCTCTTGTTTCAACTTACGGGTGGTGTTCCCTGTCCTCCACCATGCACCGCTGTGAACGGACTGGCTCCCTCTCCTCAGTAACCCCAACCCTCATACGTAGTCGCTGGGGCTGCTGTTAGGTCTCTGCTCCAGGCTGAGCCAGCTCCGCTCCCCCAGCCTCTCCCCACCGGGCTGGCGGGGCCCCTGACCATCCTGGCGGGCCTTCGCTGAACTCATGCGAGTTTATCTTTATTAAAGGGCCCCAAACCAGCCATAGTATCTAGAGGCAGTCTGACAGCTTCCAAGTAGAGGGAGATAATCCCTTCCCTCAGTCCCCTTAGTACAGTCCTGGATGCTGTTGTCCTTTACTACTCGTAATTCTTGTGATTGCTGTCCTTGGAGCAACAGGAACCCGGGGAAAGGGGTAAAGTTCTCTAGTGTTACAGCAGCCAAGACGCTTTAGTTCTGTGTTTTGCATAGCATATATAGCAGTCGCCAGCAAAGTACAAATTTGATTTTTATAACAAATATTGCTATGAATGAAATTATGATCTTCCCTGTAATTCACAAGGTAATATTCTTTGCATATATAAAGAATATACTTTGATAGTGAAATCTATAGGTATTTTCTTCATACTGTGATTTTTCTTAGGAAAACAATACAAATGGAAAGGTTAATGTAGGCCATAGCTACCTAAATACTGTATTTTTTGGTTGTACTAGATATCTGTGTAGCAAAGTGGACATCTATTTAGATGATATTTGGGTTTTGTTAATCTAAAACTGAATGTGGTTATAATCCTCAGTTAAGACTTAGAACAGAATGATATTGTAAACATTCTTGAATTTGGCACAGCTCTGCTTGCTTTTAAATTAGTGTTCTTGTGTTGGTTTTTTTTTTTTGTAGATGGAGCTGTGTATCATGCTTGCCGTGAATCTACGTACTCTGTTCTCCCTGAAGACTACAATTGGTACTTAAATGTGCTTTGATGTGTGGCTTTTCATGTGACGTTTATTCCAGGGCTGCTTTCTCTGTCGTGAAGTTGTCATATAATGGTATCAAATACATCTTCTGCCAGTTTTGGATATATGTAATAGTTTTAACTAAAGTACTGTTTCCAATCATAATAATGATTATGTTAATATTTCAAAAAATAAGCGTAATGAAAAATCATGCAGGAGTCATTCTAAACATGGTGGTGACCCCAGTACACCTGCAGTTTTGTTTGTGGAAGAGCAGAAGTAGCTGAGAGCAGTCATTTTCGTTGATGCTTGTTGTTAAGACAAAGTCCAGGTGTTTTTGTGCTGCTGCATGGGAAAATTGTATAGAAACTAGGAAAGACAATACAAATTAAGGCCAGGTTGGATGGGGCTTTGAGCGACCTGGTCTATTGGAAGGTGTCCCTGCCCATGGCAGGGGGTTGGAACTAGATGGTCTTTAAGGTCCCTTCCAACCCAAACCATTCTGTGGTTCTGTACAGCATCTGTGCCATGCGTGGTTTTAGGAAGCTAATGTGTCATGGGAAGAGGAAGGAAGAAGAAGCTGAGAAGGTGAGGAAGTCATATTCCCTCAAGGAACCTCTCAATAGGACTTTTTGTTCATCATGTTCATCATCAGTTACCAAATATAAAAGTTGGAACCTCAAACAGAGCTTTGTTTCCTATTCTTTCTTTTGTAGGTGCCATCATTCTTACAGAGGCATGTTGTCCTAGAGATCGTGATCCACATCTGTTGCTATAGTTTTATAGGCAATTATTCAAGGTGTTAAAGATTTTTTTCCAACCCATATTTCCAGCTACCTGTAATACTTTATTTTAGCCCTTTTTTTCCCTCTCCATCCAAAAAGAAAACATGAAGATGGCTGGGGAAAAAAAAAAAGAGGACGTTCAGATGAAGTATTTGTGAGCCTTATTTTTATAAGGATGTGTTTTGTAGAAGATTCTTAAGAATTCATAAATGTGGAGTCAGATCTGGTTTTCTTTGGGACTTGGGTTGTTCAGTTGCTCAGCATTTCTGAAAATTGTAAGGGATATATTTATGAATGTAAGTTTTTACTTTTATAGCAAAGTGGAACTTGCAATGACATCAGATTTGAAGACGATTGTCTGCTACCACCCTTCGCTTGAGATTCCATATGAGCATACAAAAGTAAGTCCAAATGTATACGTTCATATATCTTACTCATGTAAAGGCATAAATAGTTCAGAATTTTGAGTCTTCAGGGCATCTTTTTTCAATTTGAAATACTGAGGTACTTTTTAGTACGTGATCAGCACGTCTGTGAAGTAAGTGAATGATGAACGTAGCTGCTGCCGTGAGGAGGCCCATGTTGTTAGTTAAGGGAAAGTCGCAGAGTAAGAAATGCTCAGATACCACAGTGTATAGTGACTCAAACAGAGTTAAATGAGGCGCTCAGCTGCTTGTGCGCTACAGAGAAACCTAGTGCCGGTCTATGAGCGTACTCCCCAAAGAGGGTGTTTGAAGTGCAGGCTGTAGTTGTGTACAGGTGCTGCAGTCTGGGCAAGGAGATACAAAGAAGTGCTGCCGCTGCTCTTTTCAGCTCAAGCTTTAAATACCGTTCAGCCCTCTGGGTTCATAAACTCCACAAAAAACTTTAAATATTGAATTTTTATCTATCAGTAGTACTTTCAGTATGTTCTTTACACTGATGAAAGTATGTCTAGATAAACTTTTGCTAGTGTACACACTTTTCTAGTTCTCATGCGCTAGTAAAATCCTGTAAATGGTAGCTACGTTGCTGAACTACCCAATGTGAAAATTCTCCATTAGAAACTTAACATATTTTAGCACTCTTTGCCTGCAAGTTACATATTAGTATTTTTAAATTTGTGTGTCTTTCGGGGAAAAAGAGGCGTAAAAGACTAAACAAGAAAAATATTTATAACTGTGCTAGTAGTTGGGTTTCAGGTCGAGAACAAACGTCTTGGTCTTAGCAGATGCACAAACAATTAGGAAGTGACATTCTTCTCCAAGGTAGAAATCATCTAAAAGCTTTTTTAGCGATGATGATGATGATCATCAATATGAATATATTTGTAAATTGGAATAATTTGAGTACTTTTGTAGTGGTAGAACTGAAGCGTATGATTCATCTAGTGGATTGTATGGATGAGATCAGCAATAATGATGAGCGCAGTGCTGATTTTAGGGGTAGGGTAATCAGCTGTAGCACGGGGGGTAATTAGATGTTTCTAAGACATCTGCTCCAGTCATGTGGCTTTGTTCGGAGCAGGCAGGGAGTGCTAAACAGCCTTTACAATTACAGGCATTCTTCTGCATTCCCTCGGTTTCAGCTGTTAAGAGTAAATTGTAACACTATCTATATACCTTGGCTTTTTGATTTTTTCAAAAAAAGGAGAAGAAGGAAATATATGCACTACTGTTTTTATAGCCCGTACCACGGCCAGATCCAGTGAATAATACAGAAGAAACCCTTGATCAAGTTTTGAAATCCAGATTGAATGAAAAAGAGCTAAAGAACAAGAGGGGTCCGACAATTGAAGAGCTCAGCAAGATGTTTTACACAACAAAACATCGCTGGTATCCTGTGGGACAGTAAGTGTTTTCTTTTCAATGTTTTCTCCTTTTGGAGGTCAAGGGAAATACAGGAATAATTTAATGAACAGATTCAACCTAGGATAAGTCATGTCAGACACGGTGCTGTTAGCACATGAGCTACTACGTAAAAGCATAAATGCAGTGTTGTGTAAATGGAAGACTGTTTTGTAAGGGGTTTTTTTTTAACACTGCCCCTTTGGTAGCCTTTGCAACTTTTTTTTTTTGTAAAATATGTCGAGTAGAAATTTCTCATACCATCTAGTTAGCTACTGGTTCAGGTGATTAATTAAAGTTGCGTAAGATGTAAAATACCCTCAATGGACATAACCCAATACATCTTGGAAACATGCATTGTCTGTTCCTTAACAGCTTTTCAGAAAAAAAAAACTTCATGGGATGATCCTCAGACTTAGGAATAGTAGAGGTTTTTCATTTGAAATGGTAAAAAGTTCACCTTGGTGTGCCTTGTACTCAGAGAGCTAGGAGGAAGAGAGGTGCAAATACGCGTGACTGAGCTTAAAGAGGAGCTATATACATTCAGATATGCTAATGGAAACAAATGGCATTCTAGCTTGTGTTATTCCTTTCCAGTCCATGTTACTATGCCTGTTAGTAGCTGCTAATTTTATAGTTCCAGAGACTTGATACAGGCAGAATTTTTTGTTGTTGTTTTTTTGTCTTTTTTTTTTTTTTTTTCTCTGTCCAGAGAAAACTTCCTAATTATTGTGTTTTGGGAGTAGATAAAAGGAATGAAATGGTAGAACTTTCTCTGACCAAAGGGTAGCTGTCACTTTAATAAGCATCAAACAGGATCTTCCTTGTTTTAGGGTGGGTAATTAAGAGGAAAGTAGGGATCACTTTTGTTGTGAAGAATTTGGTTTTTAGTTTGTCTGCAAAATATTACACTATGTAACGTACCATCTGACATAATTCATTTAAATATCGAGTCTCTTTGTTCTGTAGCAATCATTTTAGCCCAAGGAACAGCTGACCATGTAATAAAATTAACTTCACACAAAGGCTGAAGAATAAACAGCACCCTTTCTACCTATTCAGCTGTAGAACTGATTGGATTGTTGCGCGCTTGTAGCAGATGTAGCAGTAGAAATGAGTAGCGTTAAGTAACTCCATGAACAACGGAGATGACATCTAACGAGTGGCGATGGGTTGTGCTCGTGTGTCTTGTGTTTTGCTTACTTGTGTAACCTCCAGACCGCTCACCGGGCGGGGGAAATATCAGGAGAATCAAAGACTCTCCAAAGCCTGCATTCACCACAGCCTTTTTTCCTTCTAGGTACCATAGAAGACGCAAGAATCCTAATCCTCCTAAGGACAGATAATGAAGATAACTTCTTGTTCATCGGCGCTTTGCTGTTAATCTTCATTGGAAATAAATGTTACGGAAAATGAGATGTTTGGCAATTCTGTGTGAGTGCTGTAACTAAAACATAAACTTGTTGTTTTCTGTTTCAACCAGTTGACAGTAGAAAAACAACAAAACCGCACTACTGAAACAAGGATCCGGTGAAGGCATGGTCAGTGAACATGTCAGTGTTAGAACTGGGGGTGGCAGGTGATGGAGAGCTCCCATTAAACCAGGTCAGAGGCTTATCATGGGTCAAGTAAGTGCACAGAAGCGTTATGTCAAAATGAGAAGTCTAGAACTGGATGCGTTAGGGTTTGTAGTCATTTTGGGGGTATATATATTTTTTTTAAGAAAGCTAGTAACTGAAATTCAGACGAGTTTGAATACTGAGGTATTTATGATATAGTATTTGTTTAAAAAAAACAACCAGTTTTGCTTCTTCTATTATGCTTGTAAGAGATCAGGTTCCGTGTTTAATCGTACATCAACCAAGTGGCTGTATTTAAAGCTAAGATCACGTACTGAAAACTGGCCAGCTTGGTTAAATTTTAGCTTCCAAGGCATATTAACTCAACCTCTAAATCACCCAGCGTTTCCAAATACCTGAGGTAACTCCTGCGTGCCTTCATGGTTTGTGGGGCTTTGGGTTGGTTTTTTTGGTTGTGGGTTTGTTTTGGTTTTAACCCCACCCCAGCTACCATTCAGTGAGGATGCTGCCTTCGTATCTGCATCGGAATAGCTGTAGCTCAGGGGAGGAAGAGTTCTTCGGCTCAGCAAGGTAATCGGTGAAGACTCCCAGCTCCTTCTAGCTTACCTAGCGGGAAGGATTGGCCCTTTACTATATAAAATGCTTTAAATTAAAGAAATTTGGTCTGATTGTACTTCATAGCTTTAGCATTTTGTAGTGCTTAAATGTTTCTGCTATTAAAATATGCTGTATCATCTAACATTTTTTTGCGGGAAAAGGAGATTTCTTTCCTCCAGTCTGCAGTTTTGGGCATCAGCCTTCCAATGGAAAGGGCTAGCTTGGGACACTGTGCCTTTGTAGAGATCCCAGTGATTTCGTGAAGTCTTCTTAGCAGATCCTAATAAATAATCAGAAAATAATTATCCCATATATGTCATACATCTTGATTGTATTTCCTTTCCAAAGCAACTAGGATAAGATAGGAAGGTTCTTGTTGCTTGTGTTAGTCTAGCGTCATTTTGCCAGCTTGTGTCACCTACAGATCTTGCTAGAAGCTGAGCACCATATAAAGTCTCTAACCCCAGTCATTGTTAGTATAAAGAACACTTACATTTCTAAAGCTATTACTAAAGAACTTTTTTTTTCCTTGAATTTCCTTTAATTGTGAAAAAAGCAACGTTGGCTGTGTGTAAAACCGACTGCCTTTAACTACTTCTGGAAAATTTCCCATAAAGCTAGTCTTAAGTACTTATCTTGGTATTATTTTTAAAAACACATTTTTAAATCCACATGCCAGTTAGCTGATAATGGTTTATCGTGGCAGAGCATGAAACCCTTTTGCTTATGCTGTTATGCTTGTAAGAAATCCGAGTCTAGGCTTAAGCCTACACCAGCCAAGTGATCTTGGCTCCGTGTTACACGATGCGCTGCTCGCCTGATAACAAACGTGCTATCGCGAAGGAATGTCTGTTGTGTCTGCAAAAGGGATGGCTGCTTACTCTGCGAGCTCAATCACACGGAAAGAATTATTTTTTTCCTGCCTAGGATATAACTTTTTAAATAGTTACTAGTAATTTGTAGTACAGCACATGTTAGTATTTTCATCAGTTCATGGTACCCGGAACCGACACTGGTCCATAAGCGAGCAGCGAGCAGCTGGTGTTTAGTGTTTTGTTATGTTCCGCTGCAGCAAACTGAGCCCCCCTAATTTTGGAAAGGTGTCACCATTCGACTTTACTCCAGTGTAAGAAAAGATATCCTTGGATTAATTCAAACTTTCAATTGTTTTTCCCCCTTCTGCACGATGCTTTTGCTTACTGCTGCCAAATACAGAAAGACCTTTTGCTTCACAGAAACCTTCTGTTACCACATTTGTTTGTTCTTGTCTGTCAGACCCTGTTCATGATTGAACATCCACAAGCACTGTGGAAATGTTGGATTTCTCAATGTTTCCCAAACGTTTTTGGATGCTTTTCAGGCATTTTGAGGGCTAAAAATCTACAATGTACTGCACTGCTAACTTTAAAGTACGTCCTCTTCTGACTAGTTACTGGAAACTGAGTCTAAAACACATTCACTTCCTGTACCCACCACCATTTTGTTATTAATTTCTAAAATTGGTATTTTTAAAATCTTTCCCTGCATTACACTGCCACTCTCAATCTTTCTATGTTCTCTTATATTAAATCTTTCTCCTGGGTCATCTGAAGCATAACCTAATCAAAATCCTACTCACAGTAATCCCAGGCTGTTCTCCTGATTTCTTGGGCCTTGAACAACTGCATGAAGCTGGCTTTACCTCTTGCTTTTCTCTTGAAAACTTGGAATTAGAAATCCATCCATTTGATTCTTGTCCCACTGCTATGCAAAATAATAACCCACTTGAAAGTTAGTTGGGCATTTCTGTTTGCTGTTGCTCTTGTTCTCTGTGATTGACAACTCAATTGCGTAGAACTCGCTGGACGTCACGTCTGCTCTGGTGTCTTTGTACCCAGTTTCAGGCACGTCGCCACTCGCTTTGTGTCCCACGATTATGACGTGTTTCAGACCTTACGCGGTTCATCGCTGTGTGTAGTGAACGCTTGGGTACATCTTACTGATTTTCTTTGTTTGAACGTCTCACTAAGCGTCTCCACGGGCTCTGTTTGCTGGCGTGCCATTAGAGAACTGTTTCAGTAAGGCATCCAGCTGTTTGTCCTTCACTCAGACCAGTTAAATCCAGTCCAGTTTGTCTTGATGTCCTGGTGAAAAGAACGTTCTTTCACTTCCTCTAGTTGGGCCTGAATTCAAAAAGGAAGCATGCTTTTACAGCAGGTTTTGGACTTTGTGCAAATGATGCTGTTCTGCAGACCCTTGGTGCTACCACCAGGAGGCAATGTTGCTCAACAACAACTGGATTTGTCCAAGACCATAGCGGATTTAGCTCTGTCATCAAATTTAACACTACGAGAGACATGCGTTAGCTGTTCTTTAAATCTGTAAGTACTTAAGGAAAAGGAACTCCCTAGCAGGTCTCGGAGTGGTTGGATTCAGAGGGTCAAAGGTTCTTCTGGGGGACTTGCCTGTTTGCTTTGCCTGATGTGGCTCTTGTGTCGCAGAGGTGTCACCCTCGTGTTTTCAAAACACAAGCCAGCAGTGGAGCAGTAACGGGACCTAACTGCCAAAGACACCTGTGTGACGAGTCTGGTGTCTTTGTGCTTCAGTTCCTCACGACTGCAACAGAGGGGGCAGTTATCCCTCCATCCCTCCATCCTTCCATCCATCCTTCCCTCCCTCCCTTCCCGCCCTCCAGTGACTCAGCCCTGTAGGGAAGCTCCCTTCTTGTCTGCCTGCTGTTGCAGTAGGTCTGAATTTCAGCTGCCATGTCCACATTCTGCTGTCCCAGAATAAACCAGTGCTGCAGCTCCGCTGTAAGTCACAGCGAGGAGTGCTATTCCAGGCTGGCACTGCCCTTCTCAGTCATCCCAATCTTTATGAATCGTAGCATCTGCTCTGCTAGGATTTCTCACATGCTGCTTCCTTCCTCAAAACCAGTACAAAGTTACATAGTGAACAGGTCACGCAGATGCAGATTGCATTCCTCTTCTGTAATAGAGGATGTATATTTTGTTTTAATGCTACAATATAACAAAATTGACTTAAAGCCCACTGTTCACTAGAATAAACGTCAGTCAGATTGTGTACCTACGATACGTAAAAGTTGGGTTCATCTCGAAGACTGAGACTGCTACGAATTCGATATCTCAGCCTGAGTTAATCTTTGTAGGCGCCCCTTAGAGCCACCTGACACACAAAAAAAGATACCTACACAAGGCAGTTGATTATTATAACATTTTATTATTTTAACATTTTATTGTCTAAAATAAGTCACACATTGTTCTCTGGAGGTGCTTTTTCCTTCTCATCTTTGAAGGGAGGATGAAGCTTAGCTGAGATTCAGATCCCTGTGTCAGAGCAAATGAAAGCAGTCCTACCTTTTTTTTTTTTTAATTTAAGAATGCACATATGTAAAAGAAACATACTCCGCTTAAGATGAAAACATTTTAGCTGTTTCTGCTAGCATTCAATAGCATGTAGTCCACATATAGGAACTCTTTGTTTTCTGTATAGAGTAACTCACAAATTTAATTTGTAATTTTGAAGAAATGGCATGTAGGATTTTAATCTCACCTCCTTATATTCAATTCACCCTCCAATGCTAAAAGATAGTACTTAAGATGTCATTTTTTTGTTTCATTAGGTGTGTAGTCACAGGAGAAGTAATCTTTATAGCTCCTCTTCTAACAAGGTCACGATCCCAACTGTTACCTCTAGGTACTTCTAAGAAAATGAACACAAAAATAGTATCTCACTGGGTAAGAATTCTCTGAAATTTTAAATACAATTTACACAGAATGTTAGTGCCACTGTATATAACTACAGCTGTTAGGACACTGCACATCAGGAGGTGGGAGCTATGGGGAAGCTGCATGAACCAAACGGCACGTTTCGTCAGCAGTTTTGCATCGCATGGCTCCTAGAGAAGGAAAAGTTCATGACCTGGAGTACCACTTTGTGAAGCGTCACAATGTAGGTGAGAAGTAATAATCGATGTGTCACAAAATTCTTTGTCACCAAGAGGCACCACAGGAGGCTGGAATGGCCAAGAGAGCTGAGGAACTTGGTGCCAAGTAGTATTTCTGAAAGATCAAGTAAGTAATAAATACAGAAACCAGTTTTGCTTATATTCAGCTTTTGTGTTTGTCAAGATGAAAAACAGTCTTGGGTCAGAGGCAGTTTACCATTTTAAATAAGGCCAGTTTTGACTGCTACCAGAGTTTACAATTCCTCAGCAAAAGAATCTCCCTACCAGCAAAATA